GTTAAAACTAACCAACTTATAGTTAGCTTTTTGGCGAGATTTCGATTAATACCTCACTTTTAATTAGCTATGACAAAACCAACTTAAAGTGAATTGTAAAGTCGTGCAGGAGTCATGCAGACGCAATCGGGAGTTGGTTTTCTTTAGAAGTTTCTATTAAATATCCTCATACAAAAATTACTTTCAATACACTTTTTTTTCTGAACTTCGCAGATTCTTTTTCATATTCAGGACAAATAAAAGGAAGATCGAAATTTTATGCTATCATTTTGAAGTTATGTCTGACGGTGTTCGAATATGGGGCCACCCAGAGCAGAATATGTAAACAAATATGAAATGTAATAAAATAAAGTAAATAAATAAGTAAATAAAAAAGTAAAAAAACAAAAAAATATTTTGTTTTTCTTATTGATATTTTATGTCCAAAAGTAGTTAGTTACAAGTTAGTTGACATGTAATGCAGAGGTATCCAGGTCTGACTTTTTTGCGGCCATCGCCCCACAAAAGTAGTTAGCTTTTTTCGAACAAAATACACAGTTAATAGTTAGCACTAGTGTTCGCGTAAACAGACTAAAGTTAGGTATAAGCTAACGTCATTCCCTGCAGGGATGCCATACTTCACAGCAGCAGCGGTCATCAACCAGATCATTAGCGTACTGTTGCGCGGCAAACTATTTTCATTGTACGCTGAGTGTGCCTCTTTCATTCACGTTTTTGATAACATTTAAGGTCAGCATGTATTAAGATTTCTAATAATTATGACGCCCAAACTATAAACAAATTTTTCGATCTCTGTTTTTAAAGCTTACGTTCAACCCGCAGGCAAGTTCAGTGCTTAATAATGGGTTCTTATCGCCAGACTAATTTCATGATTATCTAGAAAGATCAGCTTTTAGCTGAGCTGCAGCAATAAAGTGTTTATGCTCTTAGGATAGTATTTATGTAAATAGATCACCGTTGCCAAAGATCTTTTAAATATGTACTCGTATAGCATATGTTTATTAGAAATTAGAATGATTTTCCATAGATGCACCCCTACGACAAATTTAAAGTTATATCTCAAAAAGTACGAGCATTTTTATGGCAATGCTAAAATAAGTTTGCCAGTTTTAAAAAAAGTTTTTAGTTTTCTGGTAAAATTCCAAAAAGGCCATTCCGACTTTTTTTGAAGATGATAAATAGTAGTGTTGCCAGAAAAAAATTTGCCCCATATAAAATACATGGAAAACAACTTTGAGAGCTTTGAGCGACCTCTTAATATTTTTTGATTTCAAAATACAAAAATTGAAGTATATTTTTTTCGGTATAGAAAATCCTAGGGGGCGAGAGCATAAAAATTTCGACTTGACTTGTTTTGGACCACCCAGCGAGTTTTGCTTTACATAAAAATTTGTGCTCTTTTATTTTCATTTTGACTCACTTCAGTGTTGGTTCCTTTAATTCAAGTTGGCATTCGGTTTTTGGAATTTGAATAAGTTCTCAGCAAAAACGTTTGCTTAAAAAAATACATATGTGTACATAGTGCTTGAAAATATCAATTTTTCCATTACCTTAAACCTTTGGGAGTGGGCAAAAATTATGTTTTTTAATTTAGGCAGAATTTAATATGCGCTATCTGGGAAGACAATATCTACATGTAATATTTATTCCGTTTGTTGGCACTATATCCAAACACAAACGCATCTTAAGAGTCTTAACAGTGAAACAATTTCTTATTTTCTATGTTGGCGAATAAAACTTCACACTTAAAATTACGACATTTATAACAAACATTTTATGAAGCAAATCCCTTCTTCGTTTAAAATAAAAATAAGCGAAATCGGCCCAATTTCATACAATCCTGCCTGACATGAAAATTTTCTCCACGATAAGGCTAGTAGCCATTTCTAACAGGTTTTGGGTCGCTTAGTCAAAAATGGAAACATATATACATATTTGAAATTTAAGAAAACAAGGCAAATAGCAAAATCGGCTAAAAACGGTTAATTTTTTTTCAGCAAAACGGCTAACAAATCGGCTGCCGGCTAGATCGAAATTTCTCCGGCTGTTTGCTATCGGAACCGGCTAAATCTAGCCGGAAAACGGCTCAAATGGCAACACTGGTTTGGAGGTGTCGACATGAAAGAATACACACACTCGACGCCTCTGGTCTTTGTGTTTCTCACCGTTAAATTATTGCTGGATATTTTTTACCCTCCCCTGATTCCCGAAATCCTTGGTCCGCCTCTGTTCTCGGCTATTAAGCTTGGCAAATGTGGTATTCATCATGGGCTGGAATTTTCACGCTTTTTACTATTAATTACAGGGTGTCGTTTTCAGAGAAAAAGTATGATAATCTTTTCAGAGCTTTTTAAATACATTTACAACGGTATATCACTTAAAGAAATCGTACATCAAACAAAAATGTTATAGAAAAAAAAAAAACTTTTTAATAAAATTTTTTTTTTTTAATTGTTATAATATATATATATATATTATGGTCTAACATAGAAATACCCTATCTCACAGCGACGCTGAAATGCAAAAAAGCTGTAACTAACAACAATTATTTATTGCATCCAACGATGTAGTGAATCAATCAAAGAGTGAATTTTGGATTTTTAGTTAGTTACGGCTTTTTGTATTTCAGCGACGATGTGAGATAAGGCCTTTCTATATTAAGGTAACGGTATGAATGTATGTATATTATACAGACAAAGTGGAAACTTAATTTTGTCATTGGTTGTATATGTACTAGGGTGGGTAAAAAAAAATTTAGTATTTTTTTGATCCGACACACGAAAACTAGTTCCTAGGTACTTCCAGAAAGTACTTACCAAGTCTGAGCTCTTAATATTAACGGGAAGATTATCCTCATCATAGTTTTCCATTTTCAGTTTAGTCTCATATAAAAATAGTCACATCTTATCACCAATAGATCGTTAAACCAGTTGCATCGTCAATATTTATAGGAAATTAAACGCTCTACAAAAATGGTCTCATATACTCTTTTCGTTAATCTAACCATTTAAAAGATAATCAAGGTCAAATATTGAAGTATTTTAAGGAAAATAACTTTTTGTTTCGAATTTCGTAACTTACTAAAAAATAACTATTGTCAAATGAGTTTCAATTATTTCTATAGCAAATTGACCGCTCTACAAAAAGGTCTCTTGAGGTTAATCGATCACTCTAACCATTTAGAAGATATTCGCAGTAGAATCCCAATGCCTACTGATTTTAATAGTTTTTCAATAAATATTTTCAATTTATCCATTCAATTTATGAATTTCGAGATATTTAAGAATATAACGTTGAATATTTAAGAATATTACGTTGATGAAAAAATAAACACATAAGATATGACCATTTTTATATGAGACTAAATTGAAAATGGAAAACTATGATGAGGATAATCTCCCCGTTAATATTAAGAGCTCAGATATGCTAAGTACTTTCTAGAGGTACCTAGGAACTAGTTTTCGTGTGTCGGATCAAAAAAAAAACTTGATTTTTTTGACCCACCCTAATATGTACATATGTATTTTCAACGTTCACGTGCTAATTTATGCATATTTTAATACAGTATATGTATGTACATCCATGCATAAATATATGTATATACATAATTCATTAATTACAGAAATGGGAATACAATAAACAGGCAAACAATATGAGAAATAATGCAGGAATACATTTTACACTGAAAAACTGCAAACAAACCAGAGCTAGCCATTATACACCGCTCCGTTTTTATAATACCATATAAAATAAATTTAATAATAGTTAATGCTAAATTTTTTATTTTTTATTTCTTTTTCTTTCAATGCAATAAGTACAAGCACAGCAGCCATTCTCGCCAAATTAAAAGGGTGCATGCAAGTATGTATATACATACGTACTTAAGTATCTGTAGTTTATCTGTTCGAGGGTCAGACTAGTAGCGCTCTTGATAGTCTTATCTGCTACATATTTTATTACCCTCTATTCCTTTGTGACCGGATACATAGATATGCGGCCTTATGTTTGCGGCCAGCCTGTAAATAGCTTCGGGGACGTTTTTAGATGAAATACTATATGAGGTAACTGCCTTAATTGCTGCTTAATTGTTTACGTATAAGCTTACTTTTAAAGAGATTCTCGTGTAGGCGAGTTCTACTGCTCATTGCGAAAATGTCTGCTTGAAATATGCCGCAATGGTCAGTTAACCTTGCTGCCCGTCTGACGTTCCGTTCCGGAAGTATATACCGACACCGACCCTGTTACCATTTCAGAGCCGATCCCACAACAGTCGGGTCTACCGGAACAGTCCAGATTTATATCTGGCCAAGGACTGTCACTCCAGCATCACACCCCAAACCTTTTTGGGGAGTTTGTATACTGTTACAACAACTGCAATAATTTAAGTTCCATACGTGAAAATGTTTGCGAAACCTTCGTTCCCAATTAAATTAGTGTGCTATATAATATCTACTATTTGTGCTTCTCGCTCCCATTGAGCTATGTCGAAAGGTTTTGTTATTGAATTCCCCTATGCATGTAAATCTAAATTCTAAAAGGAGAATTCTACTTAGTAAGGGTTATAGTCCCTTAGGGCGGCCGAAGGTCGCCTACGCTGAATTAACCTTTTCAATAGAAGCCTCCGGAGACTGGGGTCTTCGCCTTTGTCAGGCAACACGGAAAGGTTCAAGTCATCAACTCGAAACAAGCGAAAACGCAAGTAAAAATTTGTATTTTTGCCCATTTTTTTAAAGGCTCCCTAGGGACCTATAAGGGGTCTAGGCATTTGGGAGTTACACTTTTGAAAACGGCAGTTCAGGCCCTTCCTAAAATGGGGTGTGGGAGGTGCCACGCCCCCACGCCCTCCGCATTCCACGCACACAACGATCGGAAGTAAATTAAAGGAAAGTTTCTCCAAAAAGATACCTGCCATGCACTTAAACTTTGTTTAGAAGTGACCCATCTATAAAATGGGTATAGCCTCATATGTGTAAATATTTGTTTATATTTAAATCACCTACCTTAAATTGCACATGACTGAGTTTCCAGTGTGGTCTTATAGTTTTGAGTATCTCTTTGGCGCCGCTGATAACGTCTTCGCCAATGTGTATAGGTACAAAAACTGGAGTCACGATCGCTTCACTATTGCTGCCGCTTTGCTGTTGCTTGCAGTTCAATGCACCATTCAAAGCGCCATTTGAGCTATGCAACTTGTGACCAACACCGCTAGCATCAACAATACCGCGACCAACACTGACTGACGACGAACCATTGAGCGCTACTTTCGGACGTAAAACACTGCCAGTCGTTGCTGTGGTGTTCTCCTTGTAGCTATTTAATTTGGTTTCTGTGCCCATACTACTTTGTAGGCTTTGTGAACTATTAGAAATTTACTTGATTTGATTAACACGACAGCCGGGAAAATGTTTAATCTATGGGCAATAATGCGGGTTTATTTTGTAAACGCACTGGCCTATTAATATCAGGCAAATTTTAATCAATATTTTTGTTTCAGTCGCAATTTTTTTTTGCAATATACAGGGATTTTATTTATTTATTTATTTTCGTTTATCTATATTTTCTCCAGTTTTTCTCTTTTTCTTTTGTTTACATTTCGCTTATTTTTTGTATGAACAGCTGCAATTTTTTTACTTATCGTTGCAATTGGTCGGTGGGGAAGTGCTTTCTCCT